ATATAATATTAAGGCTGATTCGTTGAAATGATGATCATCTTTTATGTTTTTAAAATTCGACTAAAACAATAGTATTTCGAAACTATTAACATTGAACATTAGAAGATTTTTCTTTTTAAATTCATGAGCAAAAAACGAAAACTTTCGTAAAAGTTCTAAGAGCAGATGGTAAAAAGTAGAAATATTCTATTTTTTGACTTGGATTAACATGAATTTAAGAGATTAGTTTTATTTGCAATGTTTATTAGAGAGAGAGAGAGACAAAAAAGAAATATTTCTAATAATCTTTCTTCAAATTTATTGAATCGAACTGAAAATTTTTCCATCGATACTTGAAGATATTGTTCTGATTTAAAATCAACAATTTTCATAATAAGATTTTGAAATTTATAATCTCGTTTTCAACTCTGAATCTTTATATATTTCTCTCATAAATTGTAAAGTAGATTTTCGAAAATGTTTCTGTGGAAATATTTTCAAAAGAAAATCTTCAGATAAAATAAAATCGAACAGCGCAATATTTCATCATAGAATTCAATAAAAAACTAAAGTTTTTCTCGAATATGTGCCATCCTACCCCAACTGTTTTTTTTTCTATAGTAAAAATTCTAAACCGATCGATTAGATTCTCTTTGAGTCTAAATCAGTCAAAAACTAAAAGGACAAAATCAGTGGCGGCGGAGTCATTAGGCTTGGGGAGGCTTATATTTTGGAAAAAACTCACAAATCTTATCATGAGCTTATATTTAGTATGCAAAAGTTCTTTGAACAATAGTACATTCAGTCTCATGCTAGATAGCACAATAAGCGGCAAACCAGTTGCGCTTAAGAAAGCTCAAGTCTCACCTAAAAATCAAAAGCAACATCTGAGAGAGATCCAATAGTTGAGAAAATTTTAGGAATGTCATTCCGAATTTGAGAATGAATGTCACAAAATGTTATCAACATAGCTTATATTGCATGTATCTTCGCATGAACAAATGCTAAAATCTTGATTTTTTTTCAAAAAATACGTTGCCGGTGATGCCCAAAATAACTATCAAAAACTCCTGCTAGCTTACTGTATGAAATAATACCTATTTTGCATCTAACGTGCTGTGCAAAAGCAATGGAAAAAATGTCGAAGTCTATGAGACCATATTGCCGATTATTAGATCAATAAATTTTTTTTTTATTAGAAAGAGAAATGTCTGAACTACAACTTTTGTACCGTACATATTTTTCCAGAATGTCTCTGAGAAGGAGGAAAAGCCAAAAACTGGATGTCTCTAAAACAGTACTTGCAACTTCATCTCTTAGCAGCATCATTTTTTATTTTCTTTGAATATTTATTACATCGGACGAGGATATACAAATCACGTTTAATGATGATTTTTGTAGCAAAAAGAATGCTCTTTTCAGTAGTATATTGCATGTCAAATTTATCTTTGGTTTTCATATCAAAGTATTGATTTTTCTGAAAGAGACTGCATGATTTGCTTGTGCTCACAACCTGACCGTTCTGCAGAGGTAAAAAAATGTTTTTTTGAATTATTTTTTTCGGCTAAGTTTTCATGATCTCACATATTTCACACAAATAACGCAAAAAGAATTGAATTTATGTGTGATTTCTATAGATGATGACTGATATTCTTGCAAACTGATAATTCTTGTAAACGCCTTTATTTTACAAAAATTTCATTTTTCAAACCTTTCTGATTAAAGAGTCAATATGGACATAAAATAATTTACCTAAGGTGGTATTGATAGTGTTTTTAATGCACTCCATTTTGGTGTATTTTAGATAAAAAGTTGGTCTATGTAGCTCAAAATAATCAAGTAATACTGATTTTTCAAATTACAAAAACGTTGCAAGCACTTTTATAGAGATGTCCCGTTTTTGGCTTTTCCTCCTTCTCAGAGACGTTCTGAAGAAATATGCGCGGTACAAAAGTTGCAGTTCAGACATTGCTCTTTCCAACAAAAAAAGATTTATTGATCTAGAAGTTGATAATATGGTTTAATAGATTTCGACATTTTTTCCATTTCTTTTGCACCGCATGTTATTTTCGCCAGAAAATGATAAAAATATGACTCTCTTTTAAAGATGTGTGATTACACTTTCTACAATATTCATAGAAAAAGGTTTTCCTGGTTTATTGTAATCAATTTGGAGAGGAGGAAAAAAGTAACGCTGTACGGCGCCGTGTAATTTTTCACGATAACAGTAAACTGAACGCTACAAAAAAGCGTAATTCTTATCAAAATCAAGTGTAATGTATTAAAACACACTACTGAATGCAATGATAATACCAAAATTATATGTTTCTTGTTTGAAGATCGCCTTAAAGAATTAAAATCTGAACAGTTAGGTAATTAGTTGTTTAAATAGTGAAACAAATGTATTTCAGAAAAGTGAAAAATATAGTATCTTGCACGCCTTTGCTTTTAGTTCTGTCAAAAACAGTTAAGACAATTCAAGAGAACATTTTGCTTCTTTAAAAACAGATTCAAGTTTTCAGGGTTTTTATGTGAGAAAATAAGTATGACAAATATTTTTATGACTTTCAGTATGATATGACATAGTAATGTTTTATATATTCTATCTTTCACTATTCTAAGAACTCATTACAACAGGTCGACAAGGCATTGTGATGCATTGGTGTAGAGAATTCAACAACAGCTTCTATGATTCATTTTTTCGAAACTTTTCTGTAAGTTCCTGTACTTATGTACTACTTTCATCGTCAACTGAACGAAATTGAGGCAAGCACGAGCATCTGACCGAAGATGAAAGTAGACAAGACTTCAGATGAAGAACAGCTGAAGATGAAAGCTTTTTGTTCCAAATCATGGTTTTTTTTAATAGAGTTATATTATGTTCTATGCTATGAAGCAGAGAAATTTTGTGATTAAAATGAATCCTGTAAATACCAAAGAAATAAATCACGAAACATTCTCAACTTCCATAGAATATCTTTCCACAACATTCCAAGATTATATCCGTCACCTATAGAAGGATATATGCAAAATAAACTCTGTTGAAAAAACATCGAGATATCCGATATCTCTTGATAAGAGTTAGGGTTGAAAAGCCAGAAAATACCCCCTTCTCATACATCACCTTTCTATCATCGCCTGAGAAGTTTTGAGCCTCTCCTAGAATAGAGGGTGTGGGTGTGGGTGGGTGTGGGTGTGGGTGTGGGTGTGGGTGGG